ACAGATGGTGTAGTGCCTCATCACATATATTTTATAATACATATTACATATTTCCCTCCCATTAAAAAGAAACTAATAGCTTTACTAACAATCCAGGGCCCTAGGGCTATCTTATTCAGTGCAAGACTGAAACAAGACCAAAGATAGCTTTATTGGAATGTGCATTAATTTGCTATATATATTATATTTTATGTATAAAAAACCCAATGAACTAGGCAAAAAATTAACCAAAATATGTTGTTTCATTAGTCCTGTAGTCATTGGAATTAAATATACATCTCTTTTTTCAGATTCATAAAACAAAGTCTAGCCTTCTTGAGCATCTTGACAGTACATCCAATCCTTCACTGAAAGTTATTTCCACACCCGAGTTCATTTTTACTTGAGTTGTTTCCATACCTAAGATAATATTTTTAGCTACAGTTAAAAACAGTTGGCAAGGCTGTGAAATAGGAGCTACATTACCAGGAACAGCTAACAGAGCGCAGAGTTGCAGAAGAAAGGATAGCTTGATTAATGGAACATCAAGGCCATTAAAAAGGAGAGAGAGACTGAACACCCAGAAGGAATCAGGTAGATTATAATGAGCCATGGTGTCAACTGACTCCCTCCATGCCCAAATGCTGCTGCCATTGCCAGGCACTTGGTTTTAAACTTTGATGAAGAAAGAATCAAATGGGGGGTGAAAATGCACCATTGCACTCCCCCCTCCCCTGCACCTGGGATCCACCTTAGATACTGTCATAGATTTCCTCTGAAACTTCTGTAGTTCTGATCATAATGTGCCTCAATGGCATTAACTGGAGCTGCAGAACAGTTTTGTTATAAAAACTAACATTGTTGTATTTGTCCAATTACTACTTTATCTAGGGTTACCATATTACCAGTTTCAAAACAAAAGACATCTAGGGGATGTGGGATAGGGGGAGGGAGTATGTGATTGGGGTGGGCAGTGATATGCCCATGCTCTGCCCCTCACTCCCAACCTGCAGCCCTCCCAACCCTGATGATACACCTCACTCCCAACCCCCTGCCCCCCCCCCAGCCCTGCTGGTATCCCTAACTCCTTGCCCCATGCCCCTCCCAACCCTGCTGCCCCCGAGGAATTCCCCGACTCCCTTCCCCTGCCTCTCCACTCTGCTGCAGCCCTACTGCTGGCAGGCACGCGCACACACACACACACACACACACACACACACACTTACCTGCCTGCAGCTGCCAGGGCCAGTGTGCAGACCATGTGATGCTCCAGCCTCCAATTGGCCTGCCCCCCTCCCCCAAGCAGCTTCTTGCTGGGGTCAGCCAGCAAGTGCCGGGAAAGCAGAGGCAGAGCAAAACCCTGGACATTTGCTGATATTTAAAAAAAATGCCTAGATGGAGATGGGGACATGTCTGGGAAAACCCAGATGTATAGTAACCCTACTTTACCTGTAAAATCACAGAGCTTTAAGTCTCAGTTCTTTATCTCTGTTTAAAATCTGCTATGAGTTAACTAGAGAGCTTTTGCCTAAGCAATTGGAGAGTGAAAGAAAAACATAATCAACTAAAAAAAAAGGATAAACACAGCTGGAATTATCATTTGCATAACCCTGCTTTTGCTTTATGGACAGTATAAAAATCTGAAGAACCCAGTGTTTGTAGCTAAAGAAAATTTCAAGATTCAGGAACCCAAAAGACAAAAGACTAAGATTCAGGTAGTTGAGGAGTTCGCAGTTGGTTTATATCCAGGATAACTAGAAAGTCCTAACTTATAACAGATAGGTTGTTCTACTAAAAAGGTCCTTCTTTTTTGTTCAGATGGTAAGCTCCTGTTCCCATTTTAGAGCAACCACCACAAGCAGCCCTCCCTCACTGCACTAGTAAGCTTGTTAAGCTATCAGCCATCTTAAAAGAAATTCCACTGTTCAACAAATGCAACAAAGAGCACAGTAAGTGGGAGAGTGCCAGGCCCCACAGCAATAATTCACAATTCAGTTCACTAAGCACTGCCCGAATCCATGAAAGTTTTTTCCGTTTTCATGGTAAAAAATAAGGAGAGAAATAAAACAGTCATAGACCAAATCAATAAATAATAGTAGCTGAACAAACCACCACATAATAGGACAAGCTGTAAAAATAAGAATGCATTATATTACTCATTTCATGGTCAGTTTAAGTTTCTCTAAAATTCTAGTGACACTTATTTGGGAACACCTGCATTATTCACTCATTGCTCCTCATCTCCACATGGGTTATGTGGTCATCATAGATTAGACATTAATTTCATGGCAATAAAACCTTCACAGCACTTCAGTTAACATCCCCACTTATTCTTTGTGTGAGGGCACACAATGTGCTACTTTGGTACTATGCAGTCTGAGGCCTGGATAGTCAGAACCCCATTTATCTGATCATTAAAAGTTTCACAACAAGCTTATCACTCCACGTATCCCAAGCTGTACCTTGTTAAAGCAATTTAATAATAAAACATTACTTATTACTGTTACTTATATTTGTCAGCACCAGATTAGCTTAATGGAAACAAAATCCTGGTCAGTCAATATTACTACCAGAGGGTACCTACAGCATACTCTATCTTGTAAGTAAGATGTTCTGTCTGAATGAAAATCTTGATATCTCCAATTTATATTTCAGAAAGCTATAACAATCCACAATTGTACTTTTATCTCAATATTGCACAATAGTGAAAACTGAGCAAAACCCTGCTAAAAAGGGAATCAGTGGTTTTGCTTCCCTCTGGCCACAGTTCAGTTCCTCAGTTGCTTTATTGAGTGTCTGTTGTTCAGGACTTCCTAGTGAGGCTTTCTATTAAACCCATGTTTTGTCTCATGCATACTACAGCTTTTACTGGTATATTTTCTAAAAAATGTAGGAGCAAGACTGCTCGACTCTGTAAGAGGTCCTGTCCTGCTTCAGACATTTGGTTCAGTTCACTATAAAACTAAATTGTGCCAAATTAGCTTAATTAGGAAAGTGTCTGGAAGCAAACCTGTTCACATGAAGTAAGGAATAGTGAATGCTTTGCCTCTGATTTTGCTCAACAAATAAAAATTGGTTTTACTGATTAGTAAACTCTGGGGGTAACATCTGTTACTGTTTAGATTTCCTACAATTTGGGGTAACTGCAACTGCAGAGGATAGTATAATATCTAAAACGCTGCTAGTTATAAGGAGTAAATAGAATACATGTATTTATTTGGTCTTACTGCTTATATTTAGTGTGCTGTGTGAACAAAGTACACGACTCTCATTTTCCATCAGGAAGGTTAATCTGAATTAGAGCAACTTACATAGACATCCAGGATCTCGTTTGTTGGACCATCTGCTAAAAATGACTCCCCCGCAGTGCTAGAGATTTCATTTGGGCGTTTATATGTGAACATTGTCCCGCCTCCTTCATATCTCCCTGGTCGATCAATTGCCCAGTTTCCATTGATGATAGACCGTCCTGATCGACTCCGAAGTGCTGTTGAGAGGAGGGAGGACAAACACATACAAATGCAGATCAGATGAAATCATCTTGGCATACCAGTGCCCAATCTGCTATACATGTACTCAAAACAAATTCAGGTAACTGGATTATGCTGGAATGAAGCAGCATGGCTGGCTCAAAATAATGCAGAAGGTATTGTTACTGGTGCAGAAAAAAATGACCTCAAAAACCAAACCCTTAAGTGAATGCATGAATTAGTATTCTGTAGGAAGAAAAAAGTATACAAATAGACTAGATAACTTTTCTTAATGTTTTTTCATAGGCTGTCATGTGATTCTTTGTTTCAGACAGCTAGATGGGTACAAAGAATACACCTGGATAAAAAGGAAGTGGTTCCTAAATTTCCTTATGCATTCCTGTGAGTCTTTATTTCGTGGTTTGAATACAGTGAAACACCAAAGTGGTAATCACTACATCTGCTACACAGAAACACCAAGAGCACAATTCATAAACCAGTGTGCACATTGGCTTGCGGTTGCCAAGTGTTCCAGTTATTATTCTTCATTCAACCATTTGGCAAATTTTCTATTATCCTTTACAGAAAACACATTTTGCCAGAACAGCTGCAAAGTCCTGATCCGTAAAGCCATTTGGAATGAACGGTGTCTCAAAACACCAGTGGGACATCTAGCATAGTGAAAAGTGGCTTGCAGAGTAAGAGAGTAGGCAGGGTTTAGGATCCATTTGTGAGAGATTTTGTTTCTGTGACTTTGGTAAGTCACTTACTCTTTCTGTAAGTGTCCTCTGTCCTCTATCTAGAAATGAAGATAAGTTTCTTTTTTCACTGTCTGGTCTACCTGGATTGTAAACTCTTGTAGACAGAAACTGTGATTACATGTGTATACAATACCTAATTAAATATTATTACTATTATAACTTATGTTCTACAATAGTGTCTAGGTATCCAAATAAAAGTGGGGTTCCATAGTGCAAAGCACTGTACATACACATAGATTCTACGCACAGCGTGCCTTATATTAATTGTAGAAAGCTGCCCACTTTTTGGATAAATACTCACAAAAACAATGTGGTTCTATGATACCCTATACTCTGTCCTGCCTAGAAGTTCATTTCTGAAAAAAATGAAAGGAAAAAAATCAAGGTGCTGATTATCATTTATAAAGCCTCTCTTGGAGGAAGAACCAGATACTTCAAAGATTTCCTTTGCAGCAGTAGTAACTGACAGCAACATTCTCTGTTTTACACAAAGGTATTTAAGCATTCTATATAAACTAATGCAGATGGGAAGAGAGAACATTGATACTATTACAACAGTCTAAATACCTTACAAGGTTCTAAATTAACTGTATCAAATCAAGAAAGGCATCTGGATCATACTGTAGGTAGCTCAATGAAAACCTCTGCTCAGTGCAAAATTGTGGTCATAAGGAAAGTTGGGACATAAGGAATGGAACAGAGCACAGAATTATATACATAAATGATGCAGCCTCTAGAATACTATGCACAACACCAATTGCCTCATCTCAAAAAGGATACTGCAGAAAAGGAGTTCAGAAAACAGCAATAAAGTGATCCAAGGTTTGGAAAAATATTTTTGAGAGACTGAAAAGATTAGGATTGATTACCCTACAAAGGAGAGAAGTACAAGGGAACATGACAAAGGTAAATAAAAAATGAATGTAGGTGGGTAGATACCTATACTGCCCCTCATCTCAGAGACACAGACACATCTACATGTGAAATTAATGGACATGATAAACTCCAGTGCATATTAGTGCTCCAGCGCTGCGTTTACACATACACCCAGGACCGCAGCACACTGAGCTGGGTCAGAGCAGCCCCAGCTGGCAGGTTGCCTGGGCAGGTCAGCCTGAGGTGCTCTGACCCAACTCAGCTGCATATGGGCTGGCTGGGGCAAAAGGCTGCTCCAGTGCAGGGCTAGCCAACAGGCAGCCCCCGCCCTGAAGCACCCTCATGCCCAGCCAGCCCCGTCAGTGTCTACATGTGCATTGCTATGCATTAAATAATGCTGTTGTAGAACAGTACTTGTGTTTACAAGTACTAACCTACAGAGGAGTTAATTAGTTTCCTGAAGCCTAATAGGGCTGCATGTGTAGGCATTGAGACTTTACTGAAGACCTAATTAGGCAACTCCACAGTCTCATGTAGATGCATTCACTGTTTCCTAACTAAGAATATTAGAGGCAGAATAAATGGTAATAAGGCTGTATCAATAGCTGGGCTGATATCACAGTAATAAATGCTATCACATAGGAGACTCTAATCTACCTACATACCAGGGGGCATTCCAATTTCACAGGGCTTAGCAATCCTTCCAGTAATAAACTTATGTAGTCGTAGTGCTCCAGATGCTGTTGGTTCTGCAAATTTGCAAACACACTTACCAAATAAACTGAAGAACAAACTATGAGACACTTATGAGTGAGTGAGTGATTTGCTCACATAAAATATTTTCCAACATGATCAGAATGTATCTGAGGTAACCAGGTATAACTCCAGCTAAATTTAACAGGTTTAAAATGACATAAACTGTGTATATAAGATTTTGACCAGAAGTGGCCAACCCACACCACATGTGCTACAAGCAGCACATGCAACCTGTGTATGTGATACGTGACAGATTGGGCAGGGGACAGAAAGCAAAGCAATAGCTTGGGGAAGCAAAGGGAATTGGAGTGGCCCTTGGGAAGGGTGCAGGGCTTGAGTTATGACACAACTGCCAAAGAGATTGCCCTCCCTTGTTTAACTTATTAGGGTCCCTCTCCTGCAAACAATAAATTATATATATGTTGTTTAATGAAAGAAATGCCTGCTGCAAAAGTGAGATGGCAAACGAATGTAGTAAGTGTTAAAGTGTCTACTTAAGGCCATCTTAATGAAAAGAGATTGTATTTATAATTCTTTCACTTTGTAAAGCCCATATTGAGGTTGACCATAGATGTAGACCCTAATCTCAAGGAAACATAAAATTACCTCTGTTCCTCCCAGGCAAATCGTCCTCCAAAATGGACTGGGATTAGCAAGGTCTGAAATGATGACAAAGCCCTCACGTACAACTTCCAGTGGTGTTTTCTGACACCACACGAGGGGTATGTACACATGCTATTAGCATGCAGCAATAAACTCCAGCGCGTATTGCGCAGAAGTTTATTGTTCTCAGGTGTGCCGTTTGAACAAGTGCCTGGGTCTGCAGCACGTTGAGCCAGGCTGGAGCAGCCCTGGATGGCACGGGAGCTGGGAGGTTAGTTTGCCAGCCCAGAGCTGCTCTGATGTGGCTAAGAGGGGGTGGATGGGGCACGAGGGTGCTCCAGTGAGGAGCTACCTGACAGGCAGGCCAAGCACTTGAAGCACCCTTGTACTCTAGCCAGCTGGGACAGCCTCTACATGTGCATGAAAAAACGCCACAGCACGGTGCATAATTATGGTGCATTAAGCTTAATACCTGTAATAATAAGTACTAACTTAATGTGTTGTAATCAGTGCTATTGCACAGTATTGCCAACATACTTTTTTTAATGTGATGCTAATGTGCAGTAAACTAATTCTACTGTGCATTAGCACGGCTTTTGCTGTGATGTGCTAATGTGCATTTGAATTAGTCTACTGCACTTCTAAATTCTAGCGTAGATGGGCCTAAAGAGGACTAAGTTTCTCCCTAGAGAAAAAAGTAGTAGTGAGCATGCATTCATTTTGCATCTGAGAGATGATGGAGATATTCTTCCTGGTGTTCCTCTTGGAGAGGTGGTAGAAGGGAGCAGTTCTACAGTGTTCTCAACAAAGCATTATGCTAAGTGGCCTTATTACAAAATTAGAAGAGTTCTACTTTGGTTTTGTCTTGCTCATAGCTCTGAGTACACTGCAAAACTTTGGGTGGCTTTAATGAAAGGCAGGGTAGATTTGTACCTTATAGACTAACTAGAGATATAGCTAGCACAAACTTTCATTAGAAATTCTGGATAGACACTGGACAGATGGAGTGATGTTTACAGTGAAAGAGTGAGTGAACACCAATGTGACATCACAGAGAAAGACATAGGGCATTTTTACATGTGTAAAGGCCAATGTGGTGCCTATCTTCAAGAAAGGGAGAAAAGTGGATCCGGCAAACTACAGGCCCATCAGCCTGACCTCTATCCCAGGGAAGATCTTAGAAAAGTTTATTAAAGAGGCCATCCTTAATGGACTAGCTGACGCCAACATCCTGAGGGATAGCCAGCACAGGTTTGTTTCAGGTAGGTCTTGCTTGACCAAACTCATTTCCTTCTATGACCAGGTGACCTATCACCTGGGCAAGGGAGAAGAGATTGATGTCATATATCTTGACTTCAAAAAAGCCTTCGATCTGGTATCCCATGATCGCCTCTTGGCGGTACTGGCCAATTGTGGCCTTGGGTCCACCACAATCCGCTGGCTGGGAAATTGGCTCCACGGTCAGACCCAGAGGGTGGTAATTGACAGAAGTCAATCATCATGGTGCCCTGTGACTAGTGGGGTCCCCCAAGACTCTGTCCTTGGACCCATATTGTTCAACATCTTCATTAATGATGTGGACATTGGAGTCAGAAGTGGACTGGCCAAGTTCGCCGATGACACCAAACTTTAGGGCAAAGCATCCACCCCTGAAGACAGAAGGGTGATCCAGGCTGACCTGGACAGGCTCAGC